TCTTTACTCTAAGGAGCTTTTGCACACAAACGTCTAGGAGCCTTTGCACACAGAAGCTGTTCCACGAAGAAGTCTTTACACAGATACATATAGCTTTCATTCACAGACGCGTTTACACACAGAATCTTTTACACAGAGAAGCGTTTACACAGAGAATTTTACACAGTGAAATCTTTACACAGACGCGCTTTCACACAGAGAAGCTTTCACACACAGAAGCTTTTACACAAAGAAGTCTTTACACAAAGTGGTTTTTACACACAGAAACTTTTACACGCAAAAGCTTTTACACAGAGAAGCCTTCAGCCAGAGAAGCTTTTAAACACAAAAGCGTTTACACACAGCAAGCTTTTACACACACAGGGGCTTTTACACAAAGAAGTCCTTACGCAAAGGAGCTTTTTACACACAGAAGGTTTTACACAGAGAAGTCTTTACCCTAAGGAGCTTTTGTACACAAACGTCTAGGAGTTTTTCACACAAAACTTTTTACACGAAGAAGGCCTGACAGAGAGGGTTTTTACACACAGACGCGTTTGCACACAGAAGCTTTTTTTACACAGAGAAGCCTTTACACAGAGGAGCTTTTACACACAAAAGCATTTACACACACAGGGGCTTTTACACAGAGAAGTCTTTACACAAAGGAGCTTTTTACACACAGAAGGTTTTACACAGAGAAGTCTTTACTCTAAGGAGCTTTTGCACACAAACGTCTAGGAGCCTTTACACACAGAAGCTGTTACACAAAGAAGTCTTTACACAGATACATAGCTTTCATTCACAGACGCGTTTACACACAGAAGCTTTTACACAGAGAAGCCTTTACACTTTACACAGAGAGTTTTTACACACGGAAGCTTTTACACACAGTGAAATCTTTACACAGACGTTTTACACAGAGAAGCTTTCACACACAGAAGCTTTTACACAAAGAAGTCTTTACACAAAGTGGTTTTTACACACAGAAACTTTTACACACAAAAGCTTTTACACAGAGAAGTCTTTGCACAGAGGCGCCTTTACACGAAGTAACAAGTTGAAATTGGCAGCAGTTCTTCGGGAAAAACCCTTGGCAGGAGCTTTCGGGAACTCACTTGCTCCCCAAAAAAGCCGTCTATTTCCAACAGAGTTCCTATTCGATGAACTTTTTTCAAAAAACATAAGGACTATATTTCTGAAGCAGGTCCCCATCCAAAAGCTTTCAAGCCCACACTGCGATGAAATGGAGGGTCGAGAAATCCGGCGGAGCCGACGAGGGGCGTCAGCCCTTAAATCCGGCCAGGGGCCCCCTGGCCGTGGCATAGCCGAAGGCGTTTCTCTCCTCTCCGTAGGAGAGAGGGGCCGCCGCCCCAGCCGCAGACCCACCCGGTAGGGCCAAAAACACCCGTGTTTTACGGTGTTTTGTGCTCTTCCCATTTTTTCCCATTTTTCGGATCTTGTGGTTTAAGATGGGTCAACATGGACCAACATAGGCCGCAAGATGGGCCAACATAGCCCCCAAGATGGGCCAACATGGCCCCAAGCTGGGGCAACTCCCCAAGTTGGGCCAACATAGCCCCAAGATGGGCCAACATAGCCCCAAGATGGGCCCACATTGCCCTCAAGATAGGCCAACATAGCCCCAAGATAGGCCACCGACCATCAAAATATCCTGCGTTTTACAGCGTTTTTTTGCTGTTCCCATTTTTCGGATCTTTTGGCTCCACATGGGTCAACATGAGGCCAACATAGGCCAACATAGCCACAAGATGGGTCCACGTTGCCCGCAAGATAGGCCAACATACGCCAACATAGGCCAACATATAGCCACAAGATGGGCCAACATAGTCGGGCCCCTGGCCGGCTGTCGCGCGTAAGCGCTTAAATCCGGCCAGGGGCCCCCTGGCCGTGTCCTTGCCGAAGGCGTTTCTCTCCTCTCCGTAGGAGAGAGGGGCCGCGCCCCCTGCCGCCGACCACCCGGGACCGCCAAAAACTACCGCGTTTTACGGTGTTTTGCGCTCTTCCAATTTTTTTATCATGTTTTGGATCTTGTGGCTCAAGATGGGTCAACATGGGCCAACATAGGCCTCAAGATGGGCCAACATAGCCCCCAAGATGGGTCAACATGGCCCCAAGATGGGCCAACATAGCCCCAAGATGGGCCAACATAGCCCCAAGGCCCCAAGATGGGCCAACATAGCCCCAAGATAGGCCCACATTGCCCTCAAGATAGGCCAACATAGCCCCAAGATGGGCCAACATAGCCCCAAGATAGGCCGCCGACCATCAAAATATCCTGCGTTTTACAGTGTTTTTTTGCTGTTCCCATTTTTCGGATCTTTTGGCTCAACATGAATCAACCTGAGGCCAACATAGGCACAAGATGGGCCCACATTGCCCGCAAGATAGACCAACATAGGCCAACATAGGCCAACATAGCCACAAAATGGGCCACATAGTTGGGCCCCTGGCCGGCTGTCGCTCGTAAGCGCTTAAATTCGGCTCCGCCGGCTCCCCACGAGTGGCTTGCCCTACGAGCGTCCCAGAGCGACTAGAGCTCTATGGTGAGGCGCGCCCCAAACCGCCGACCCTCCGACGCCGCGTCTCCAAGAGCAAAAGGCCCCCCCCCCCGTTTGGAGGGTACCTAAAATCGGAAAAAAGTGCTGTTTTGACACATTTTTCGGACGATTTGCCGCTTTTCGAAAGTCACAAAATGCTGTAAATTACAGCATTTGTGCGTTTTAACGTCTTTTGCGGGAGCCATGCAAAAACGCAGAAAATGCTGTAAATACCCATACTTTTTGGACCCAAGATGCACAAAACACCGCAAATACCAGTGTTTTTGAAAGCCAAGCAAAAAAACACTGTAAATTACAGCATTTTTGGCGGGTTGATCGCAAAAAATGCTAGTATTTACACGGTTTTTGCAATTTCAAGAAAACGTGGAAGGCACGAAACACTGTAAATAGCGGTGTTTTGGCCACTTTTGGACGCCGAAACGCTGGTATTTACGCAGTTTTTTGCCCGTGGCGGCGCCAAACCCTTGTAAATTACAGCATTTTCTTCCCTTTCTGAACCGATTTGTTGCCTTGATGAACGCAAAAAACGCTGGTATTTACGCGTTTTTCAAAAAATCGAAGATCGTGACGTGAACGAAACCGTGCAAATAACAGTGTTTTAGCCACTTTCGGGGACTAAAACTGTGGTATTTACGCGGGTTCTTGCCATCTGACAGCGCAAAAATGCTGTAAATTACAGCACTTGGTGCGCTGTTTATGTTCAATTTTTTAACCTGCGATGCTTTCACCTGTTCTTTGCATTCTTCCACAAGAAACAATGTTGCAGATTGAAACTGGACGACAGCGTGACCCGAAAGAAAGCTGGATGGAGGAGTCGCACAGAAGCTTTTACACATACAGGGGCTTTTACACAGAGAAGTCTTTGCACAAAGGAGCTTTTTACACACAGAAGGTTTTACACAGAGAAGCCTTTACTCTAAGGAGCTTTTGCACACAAACATCTAGGAGCCTTTACACACAGAAGCTGTTACACAAAGAAGTCTTTACACAGAAGGCTTTTTACACACAGACGCGTTTGCACACAGAAGCTTTTACACAGAGAAGCCTTTACACAGAGGAGCTTTTACACACAAAAGCATTTGCACACAGCAAGCTTTTACACACACAGGGGCTTTTACACAGAGAAGTCTTTACACAAAGGAGCTTTTTACACACAGAAGGTTTTACACAGAGAAGTCTTTACTCTAAGGAGCTTTTGCACACAAACGTCTAGGAGCTTTTTCACACAGAACTTTTTACACGAAGAAGGCCTGACAGAGAGAGTTTTAAAAAAACAAACGCGTTTGCACACAGAAGCTTTTACACAGAGAAGCCTTTACACAGAGGAGCTTTTACACACAAAAGCATTTGCACACAGCAAGCTTTTACACACACAGGGGCTTTTACACAGAGAAGTCCTTACACAAAGGAGCTTATTACACACAGAAGGTTTTACACAGAGAAGTCTTTACTCCAAGGAACTTTTGCACACAAACGTCTAGGAGCTTTTTCACACAGAACTTTTTACACGAAGAAGGCCTGACAGAGAGAGTTTTTACACACAGACGCGTTTGCACACAGAAGCTTTTACACAGAGAAGCCTTTACACAGAGGAGCTTTTACACACAAAAGCATTTACACACACAGGGGCTTTTACACAGAGAAGTCTTTACACAAAGGAGCTTTTTACACAGAAGGTTTTACACAGAGAAGTCTTTACTCTAAGGAGCTTTTGCACACAAACGTCTAGGAGCCTTTACACACAGAAGCTGTTACACAAAGAAGTCTCTACACAGATATATAGCTTTCACACACAGACGCGTTTACACACAGGGGCTTTTACACAGAGAAGCCTTTACACTTTACACAGAAAGTTTTTACACACGGAAGCTTTTACACACAGTGAAATCTTGACACAGACGTTTCACACAGAGAAGCTTTCACACACAGAAGCTTTTACACAAAGAAGTCTTTACACAAAGTGGTTTTTACACACAGAAACTTTTACACACAAAAGCTTTTACACAGAGAAGTCTTTGCACAGAGGCGCCTTTACACGAAGTAACAAGTTGAAATTGGCAGCAGTTCTTCGGGAAAAACCCTTGGCAGGAGCTTTCGGGAACTCACTTGCTCCCCCAAAAAAGCCGTCTATTTCCAACAAAGTTCCTATTCGATGAACTTTTTTCAAAAAACATAAGGACTATATTTCTGAAGCAGGTCCCCATCCAAAAGCTTTCAAGCCCACACTGCGATGAAATGGAGGGTCGAGAAATCCGGCGGAGCCGACGAGGGGCGTCAGCCCTTAAATATATATATATATATATTGCAGGAATGACTTGAAGTTGAAGGTAATTGGAACATATCAAGAAAGGCACCACAACGACTTCGCTGAATAAAGCCGTATTTTAAGAAGCAGAGTTTGCCCTCATTGAAAGCAGATGCATCCAAATCTTTATCGCTTCAGGAGAGCTGATTTTTGCTAGTGGTCTGAAACGAACAAACTTGGCAGGCGGACACAATTCGCTTGCTGTACTTTTCAAGCATATGCTGGGGAATACCACGCTTGAAGTCCGACTTCATCAGGTAGTAGAAGAGTAACACACAGAGTATCTGTCCAAGGTTTTTTCAGCTCAGCATCAACTCACAAATCGACATCAGGCAGCGGCAGCACATGGGCAGATACAGCGACAGCCCCACCCTATGAACAGCAATGCTGATGAAGTTAAACAGGCAGTGTCTCCAAATGGCTCCAGTGAAGTCTGACTCCTGTGAATCCCAAAGCCAACGGGTCAAGAAATGCCATAGGCCATAGTCCCAGGTCACACAGATGCTTCGGTCAAACCCGGAGAATGTAGCAATGAGAATCCCTCAATATTTGCTCACATGTACAGTATACAGTATACAGCTGTAGACAGTCATAGATCCAACATCGCACAGAAAAAACACCTGGAATCTTTCTCTGCGTGGGCGGCTTGCCGAAGTCTCGTCTCCTCTGGGTACAATCGGAAGATAAAGGCCACCAGGGATACCGCTGCTAACCTGCACATTGCTACCAAGGAAAGCAGTCGTCTGCCACAAAATGAGAAGCATCAAGCGGGTCTCTGACCATCCGTAGTAGAAGAGCAGCAGTGCCTTCTCAATGCCTGAAAGGCGCAGCATGGCGCAGCATGGCGCAGCTGCAGTTTTTGAAAAGCTCATGCAATCTGCAAAGATCTGCAAAAATCTGCAAAGCGCTAACACCGAAAGTGCTTGGGGCAGGGACCAAAAGGGTTGCAGTACACATCAAGCAGTCTGCGAGTGACCAGCTGCGGAGTTGGTTGATATCGAGCCTCCCATGACCAAACGAGACATGGACAAGTCGCGGCCATGGCGGACAAAACAACGCAATGGCAACATGTCGCACCTGAACAAATAGTCGTCTGGTGCGAATCCAAAAATAGGGCCTGGCAAGTGGCAAGACACGAATTAGACTCACCTTGAAAGGGAAAACATGAGAACTAATCATTTTTGCACAACTGAACAGCACGTTCCGAGGACATCAAAAGCTAACATAGTGCACCAGTTCTCGGTCCTCGGGATTGCACAGGCAATTCGAGCTAAGCACAGAAGACGTAGAAGAAGGTCGGCGTCATCCTGCCGAGATTTGTCAAGGGGATGTCCATGGCCCATCAGTCCATCATGAGTCATTTCAATGATGTGTTAGCTTCTGCAGCTGAACTTGACTCCCGTAGACACTGGTCACTGCTCCTCTGATTCCCAATATCTCCAAACCACTATGCAGCAATGAAGCACCTCTCAAGTTGGTGTCAAAAGTTTTCTGTCTGGGTTTCCTTTGAAGAATGTTGAGGAATGTTGAGGAAAATATGGCGCGACTTCGGAAATTAGGCTGCACACAAGGAAGCAACTGCACACGATACCAAGTTCAATGCCACGCTGCCTGAATCCCACCGATATACACAGTGCAGTCTGTTGCCATATGCAATCGCAACATGAAGGCACTGACAAAAACGCTGAGGATCGCTGAGGATCACTGAGGCCTTTGCATCACAGCAGCTGACTCATGTGGGAAAAGAGTAAACCTTGGCTGAGGACAAGATAAAACATCATGGAAGTTGTCTGCTAATTTGTCTGCCGTCTACTTGGCCACTTCTCTACAGTACTGTCTATTTCTGCGTACTTTCGAAGGGGAGGGATACTGTGGAGCGCACATTTCCGCCATTGGAGATTCCTCTGCATCCTTAACGAACAAACTCTGAGAAAGTATATAAGTCTGCGAAAAGGCTGTCCCGGAAAGAAAATCAAGCGCCCAGTATCACATGAACACACATGCAGTAGCGTCTGCGAAGTGTTCCAAAATGAATTGTCTAACAACTAGAGCAGACCATGCGCCAAGTCATACCTGAGCCCAGCTCCATTGCTGATTGCAAGGCTTCAAACCTCAGCACTTGACTGTCAGGATGTTGATGCCAAATGCTGTTTGAGCAAAGATAATCTATAATGATCTATATACCCCACTGACTCCAAAGGAGCAGAGACGCTCAACAAACATGTCTTCGAAGCCCAATATGTCGCTTGCGAGACGGCGGTAGATTAGGAAGATAAATATATATATATATACCAAGAGAACCGGGGACCTGCAAAATTGTAGGGCCAGTGAAAAAAACCGGGGTTTTACAACAAAAACCAGGTTCTTAAAAAGAACCTGTTTTTTATCTTCCTGATATTTCATCATTTTTTGCACTTGCCCCATCATATCCACTGGAATCCACAAGAAACCATTTATCATTCCTGACATCCCTGTAAATTGAGAAAAGAATGCTGAAAGCGTCAGCTTTGAGGCAGCAAGTCATGGATCCAACTTTTTGGAGCAAGCTTCTCCTGCACATCGGGCCTAAACCCCCGAAAACATAGGTTCTGCCCAGTTTGAACAAAATACGGGTTCGCTACGGGAAAATGACGGGTTCGCTACGGGATAAAAGGAATTGAAATGGATTAGGGTTAGTATGAAATGGATTTGGGGGTGGATTTCTGAAAATTATTGTTGGTATATTGTTGTAATAAATGGGGGACCCATAGCCCCCACTCCAAACACCAACCACCCAGCAGTGGTGGCTGGCAGCGGCAGAGCTCCTGCACAGACGCTGGGTTGCAGTTGGGCGGATGGAGTGGTTTATTTAGGGTTATGTAGGTAGATGGCATCCCAATATGCCAATTAATATCACCAATTCATCAGTGAACAGACTACAGTACATTTGATGTTAAAAGTTAAAAGGTTTGAATCTCTAGTTCTAAATACATATATATATATGGTCTTATAGATATGTGGATATGTTACATATATATATATACTATATATACTATATATATACATACATACACTATATATATATACTCTATATATATATACACTCTCTATATATATATATATATATACACTCTATATATATATATATCTGTACTATATATATATACTTTATATATATATATACTATACATACACTATATATATATATATACTATATATATATATATGCACATCGATGTAGATATATATATATATAATACACATGTGTATACATATTTTTCCCAACCTGCCAGGTGAGGGTTGTTAGATGTTATCAGAGTTGTTCTTCTCCTTCTCCTCCTCCTACTCCTCCTACTCCTCTTCCTCCTCCTCCTCGTCCTCCTCCTTCTCCTCCACCACCTCTGCCTCCACTCCCATGTTCACTTCCGCCTTGCCATCTCTTCGCCAAGCTCTTCGCCAACTTCCGCACGTAGTGTGCACTGCTGGACCTCGACCTGGGACCTGCCGAGCTCAGTGAGCACCGCTGGACCTCAACCTGGGACCTGCCGAGTTCAGTGAGCACCGCTGGACCTCAACCTGGGACCTTCCGAGCTCAGTGAGCGCCGCTGGACCTCAACCTGGGTCCCGCCGAGCTCAGTGAGCACCGTTGGACCTCAACCTGGGACCTTCCGAGCTCAGTGAACACCGCTGGACCTCAACGGCCAGATAGAATGCCAGAAGATATGCCAGATAGAACGCCAGATAGCATGTCAGATAGAATGCCAGAAGATATGCCAGATAAAATGCCGGAAGATATGCCAGATAGAATGCCAGAAGATATGCCAGATAGAATGCCAGATGGTATATCAGATACAGTGCCAGAATGTTTGCCAGATTGAATGCCAGAAGATTTGCCAGATAGAATGCCAGATAGAATGCCCCCGGGGGGGGGAGGGGGGGGTTCCTTTTTGGCACTTTTTCTTTGTGGGAGCCATTTGACAAAGGATTTTCAAACTTGTGGGGGTCTGCTTTGGGGAGACTAGTAGCAGATTCAATGGGCTTGTGTCTGAAAAGATTTCATTTTCAAGACTGAAACTCTGTAAGGGTGATTGTTTTTCTTGCCATGGATAATGGTTGTATGTTCTGTGACCAAGTTTCCAACTTGTCGAGTAGCTCCATGTCAGCATCACCACTGAACAAGTCAGTTTGACTGTCACCCATGGCTGCCAAGAAGGATTGTGGAATGAAAGACAAATCAAAATCATATAATAATCCCAAATCCATAGCCATTCTTTATATGCAGCATGCAGATCTAGCTGTGCAATTTTGATGAGTGTACTTCTGCCTGTTTCGTTTGAAACCTGCAGATCTCCCTGGGCCATTTCTTTTTCAGCAGACCTTGAGCCCCCAAATCCTGGCAGGTGAGATCTGCAGGTTTTGCTTTCTACCTGGTACTTCTGCTGGTTTCGGATGAAACCTGCAGAAGTCAAGGCCTGATTTTTGGAAAGGGACTTCTGCAAGATCAATTTTTGAAGCCAATGAATTAATATGCGGTGGATTTGGGTCTAGGCAGGGCCGATTTCTACGGATTTCGTTTGAAACCCGCAGATCTCTGAACCATTATCCACGGCAATTTAATTTGTCCATTATCCATGGCAAGAAAAACAATCACCCTTACAGAGTTTCAGTCTTGAAAATGAAATCTTTTCAGACACAAGCCCATTGAATCTGCTACTAGTCTCCCCAAAGCAGACCCCCACAAGTTTGAAAATCCTTTGTCAAATGGCTCCCACAAAGAAAAAGTGCCAAAAAGGAACCCCCCCCTTCCCCCCCCCGAGGCATTCTATCTGGCATTCTATCTGGCAAATCTTCTGGCATTCAATCTGGCAAACATTCTGGCACTGTATCTGATATACCATCTGGCATTCTATCTGGCATATCTTCCGGCATTTTATCTGGCATATCTTCTGGCATTCTATCTGACATGCTATCTGGCGTTCTATCTGGCATATCTTCTGGCATTCTATTTGGCCGTTGAGGTCCAGCGGTACTCACTGAGCTCGGAAGGTCCCAGGTTGAGGTCCAGCAGTGCTCACTGAGCTCGGCGGGTCCCAGGTTGAGGTCCAGCGGTGCTCACTGAGCTCGGAAGGTCCCAGGTTGAGGTCCAGCGGTGCTCACTGAACTCGGCAGGTCCCAGGTTGAGGTCCAGCGGTGCTCACTGAGCTCGGCAGGTCCCAGGTCGAGGTCCAGCAGTGCCCACTACGTGCGGAAGTTGGCGAAGAGCTTGGCGAAGAGTTGGCAAGGCGGAAGTGAACATGGGAGTGGAGGCAGAGGTGGTGGAGGAGAAGGAGGAGGACGAGGAGGAGGAGGAAGAGGAGTAGGAGGAGTAGGAGGAGGAGAAGGAGAAGAACAACTCTGATAACATCTAACAACCCTCACCTGGCAGGTTGGGAAAAATATGTATACACATGTGTATTATATATATATATCTATGTGCATATATATATATAGTAAATATATATATAGTATATATATACTATATATATATTTATAGTATAGTATATATAGTAAATATATATATATATAAAGTATATATATATAGTATATAAAGTGTGTGTATATATATATATAGCGTATATATATAAATATATATATAGTGTGTTTATAAATATATATATATAGTGTATATATATAGTGTATATATATATATAGTGTATATATATATAGTGTATACATAAATAGTATAATATATAATATATATATATATGTGTGTAACATCTCCACATATCTATAAGACTATATTTATATATGTAAATAAAACTAGAGAGTCAAACCTTTTAACATCAAATGTACTGTAGTCTGTTCACTGATGAATTGGTGATATTAATTGGCATATTGGGATGCCATCTACCTACATAACCCTAAATAAACCACTGGACTGAGTTTGCTCTGATGAGGAAAGAATTGTGCCATGCGTGGTCGATACCTTAGGTATCGTGCAACTCGTTTGAGCATAAGCATGTGGCTGGTAGTTGGTCGTTGTAGCCCTTGTGCTAAAGATCTTGTCGCTACTTGCAGATCTGGTCGATCTTGTGCCAAATAAGCTGCTCGCATTGCAACTGATCTGTACTGGGTTGCTTCTTCATCATTGAGAAAAACAGTGGCGTTCTTGAGGTCTTCCACTGAACCCTTGGCAAGTGGTGTCTTGACTTTGGCTCCTCGGGGACCATCTCCGAGTAAATCAATCACCAACTCTGCATGACGTGCATCTGGTTCCCACCAAATTCCATTCTCCTTCCATGTGATAATTCTGTTCAGGACTCTGATGTCCTGGATGGTGTTTGGTGTTCCTGGTGGTCCTAAAATACCACGTTCCACACATTTCCACTTCTTCGACAGCTCTTCATGAAGCCATTTGATGTTGTCAAATGTTCCGGCTGTTGTAAAATCATCTCCATGTACAACAGTTCTGAGGTCTCGGCCTGCATGGTAGTAAATGCATGGATTGCTTTTTCCTTGCTTGAAACCTAAGGCTAACATAACCTTCTGTATTTGCAACTCCCAGTTGAGAGGTGCGTCTCTGGTTCCATACAAAGACTTGAGCAATCTTCCTACCACATCTTCTCCAGGCTTCTTTGCTTCTGCAGGAAGTTCCACATAGATCTCAGGCGTCGCATCTGAGTAAAAGTGGGCGCGTTTCACATCCAAAAATCCTAGAAGTCTACGCTTGCGATAGGCTTCCTTGACAGCTTTTCCAGCGTCTGGCAACTGAAACGTGACGGCTATTGTAACTAGCATCTTCAAAGCCGACAAACTGGGCATAGCTGCGAAGAACTCATCAAAACCTGAGCCCTTCTTGACTTCTTGAGCTACTAACCTACTTCTATAAAGTGGATTCTCTTCATCCTGCTTGTTGACATCTACCCATCGTGTTCCAATGGTGCGTACCCCTTTGGGCATCTTGTGTCTGGGAATCTTTTCCCAAACTGGAAAACTTTCGATGATTTCGACCTCATCTTTTCTGGCTTGTTCTACACCTTTGCTGTCTAAAATCTTTCCACTGATATCATCGTAATAATACCATGTGGCTGCTTCATCTTCCAGTTCTGGTGGAAGAGGAATTGTCTCTTCACAAACTGGCTCTTCTTCACCT